TAACTTGTAGTTGCATTTTCTTTTATTTACCATCTTATTGCAGCATAAATTTCATCAGCTAAGTTGCTAAACTAACTTTTAAAAAACAAATCCTTCGGTCCGTGRTGAATTTCCAAACTGCGCCGACACGTTAAAAAAATAAAAACACCACCGTCTTCATTTCTCATATTATTTTGCTGTCCGCGCATTGAATCCTGGGATATCCTCGGCTGGTAAGGATACATGGATTCTTCCTCTGATTTCGACAGGAAGTAGGACGCATTCCTCGGCCGCGTGATGAGGAGCCTTTGAATTGGGACAGTCCTCCGCACGGGGCAATGACGTATGCGGCCGATAAATGCCACTCATGAGGACCCAGCCCCTGAATTGAGACACAGCCAAAATGGGTAAAATCGTGTGTATTATGGTAGTTTTCTTGAATATAAAAATGTTTTCTTTGACTTTTTGTATTTGAAGGATAAGCATGTCACAGGCACTTTAAAAGTGGCAGCAAAGCTGACCGTGTAGCTTTACATTAGAGCGCCTGGTCTTTGGTAACATAAAGCATGTTTGGTTTGAACTTTGTTTGAACAGGTAACTCCATGGTGTTTAAGCCCTCACCTGTGACGCCGGTCACCGCAGTCTTACTAGCAGAGATCTACGCACAGGCTGGAGCACCCGAGGGTCTCTTCAACGTGGTGCAGGGGGGCCAGGAGACCGGCAGCTTACTGTGTCACCACTCTGACGTCGCAAAGGTTTCCTTCACAGGAAGCGTGCCCACCGGACAGAAGGTCCGTACTGCTGCACCCCCCACTTCTTATCAAAGACATGTGGACCACTCTGTTCCTGTGTGTCGTTGAACCTGTAGATCATGGAGATGGCATCGAGGGGGGTCAAACCTGTGACTCTGGAGCTCGGAGGGAAATCTCCTCTGATCATCTTTCAGGACAGTGACCTGGAGAACGCTGTCAGGGGGGCTCTCATGGCCAACTTCCTGTCCCAGGGCCAGGTAGACCTCTGCTCCAGACATCAAACTGATTTTCTGTTGTCACATTTAAAAGCAGAAATCAGCATGTTTGTCTCGCAGGTCTGCAGCAACGGCACGAGGGTGTTCGTTCAGAGGGACGTCCTCCCTGAGTTTGTGGAGGAGGTGGTGAGGAGAACCCGAGCCATTCCCATCGGAGACCCCCTGTTGGAGAGCACCAGGATGGGAGCGCTGGTCAGCCGGCCACATCGGGACAAAGTGCTTTCATTCGTTGATCAAGCAAAGAAAGAGGTGTGTTTCATTTGCTCCGGTAAGTCCGTGCTTTTAGAGCTTTGGTGGTCAACTCTGGTATGAACGGCTGTGTTTGCAGGGGGCCTCGGTGTTGTGTGGAGGAGAACCGTTTGTCCCAACAGATCCTAAACTCAGAGGTGGATACTTCATGACTCCATGTGTGCTGGGTAAATCCTGCTACAGCTTTCCCTCGTCAGGCTCTCCAGCTCTTTTATTTGTCAGATCATGTTTTGATATCTACATTTTTCAGCACCTTGTTCTGCAGTTTTTGTGCTATTTCAGCAATTTACATTCAGCTCCTAAAGGATATTTCGGCTATGACTTTAGGCACTTCCACAATTTATACTTTTGGAGATATTTAGCTTTTAATGCCATATTTCCTCGTTTAAGACGATTTCAGCATCCTTAAAATCCTTTAAAATGTTCATAAATCTTTATTGCACTTCTACGTTTTTGTTCTGGTTGTGCTTTGTTTCTTTTTTCTTTTTTTTGGCTTTTAGTTAGCTGGTTTTAGCTTTATTTCGGCTATTTTAGCTACCATTTTTCTACTAACATTGGGCCTCATGCAAGAACCGTTCAAACAGATTTGTTCTTAAATTGTGCGTACGAGTGATTTAGGAGAATTTGTGCATTCACCAATGTTTTC